AAAAGAAATCTGAAGCTCCTATGTTTAATAGTTTTTGAGCTATAACCATTTTGTATGTCCAGCTACCCACTTTTCAGATAAATTGGGGGTCTGGATAGGGGGGGGCACTAATTGGTGGGCCTGATGAAAAGAGCTTCAACAGAAACAAAAGAAATCTGAAGCTCCTATGTTCTATGTTTAATAGTTTTTAAGCTATAACCATACCCATTTTTCAGATACATTGGGGGTCTGGGGGGAATGGAGGGGTACTGATTGGTGGGCCTGATGGATAGCCCCTCATCAGAGCTAAACAACAAAAGAAATCTGAAGCTCCTATGTTTAATAGTTTTTGAGTTCTAACCATACCCATTTTTCAGATAAACTGGGGGTCTGGGGGGAATGGAGGGGTACTGATTGGTGGGCCTGATGGATAGCCCCTCATCAGAGCTAAACAACAAAAGAAATCTGAAGCTTCTGTGTTGAACAGTTTGAGTTATAAGCATTTTTGCATGTCCACACACCCCCACTTTGAAAGGTGCCCCCTCCTCAAATATGGGGTCTATCGTAAAACCATTGGCTGGTGCAGTGTAGGTCAGACTCATCTACAGTCCTGCCAAATTTCAAGTTGATCGGTGCAGCCGTTTTTGTGCTACTGTTGACCAAAAATCTCTGAAAAAAACAAACAAACTAGATACCTCATAGCGGCAACTTAATGACCCCTGCACAAACAAATGCACCAGAACTCAGAAGTCTTTATTCCTAATAAATTTCATGCTATAGGTGCATCCCAAAATTGTAGTGGTTTGGGTGGGGGCTTTTTTTGGTTGGCGGGGGGGATGGGGGCATTGGTTGACCTGATGGATAGCCCCTCATCAAGCTGTCATGTTTAATAGTTTTTGAGCTATAACCATTTTTGTATGTCCAGATACCCCTTTTTCAGATAAATTGGGGGTCGGGGGGCACTGATTGGTGGGCCTGATGGTTAGAGCTTCATCAGAGCTAAACAACAAAAGAAATCTGAAACTTCTATGTTGAACAGTTTCTAAGTTATAAGCATTTTTTCATGTCCAGACACCCCCACTTTGAAAGGAGCCCCCTCCTCAAATATGGGGTCTATCGTAAAACCGTTGGCTGGCGCAGTGTAGGTCAGACTCTTCTACAGTCCTGCCAAATTTCATGATGATTGGTGCAGCTGTTTTTGTGCTACAGTTGACCAAAAATCTCCAGAGAAATAAAACTAGATACCTCATAGCGGCAACATAATGACCCCCACACGCAGAAATGCACCAGAACTCAGAAGTCTTTATTCCTAATAAATGCCATGCTACTAAGTGCATCCCAAAATTGTAGTGGTTTGGATGGGGGTCTTTTTTGGGGGGCGGTGGCATTGGTTGACCTGATGGATAGCCCCTCATCGAAGCTAAACAACAAAAGAAATCTGAAGCTCCAATGTTTAATAGTTTTTGAGCAATAACCCTTTTTGAAAGTGCAGACACCGCTTTTTCAGATAAATTGGGGGTCCGGGGTTTGGGGGCACTGACTGGTGGGTCTGATGGATAGAGCTTCATCAGAGCTAAAGAAAAAAGAAATCTGAAGCTCCTATGTTGAACAGTTTCTGAGTTGTAAGCATTTTTGCATGTCCAGATAGCCCTTTTCCAGATAAATTGAGGGTCTGGGGGGTGGGGGCACTGACTGGTGGTCCTGATGGATAGAGCTTCATCAGAGCTAAAGAAAAAAGAAATCTGAAGCTCCTATGTTGAACAGTTTCTGAGTTGTAAGCATTTTTGCATGTCCAGATAGCCCTTTTCCAGATAAATTGAGGGTCTGGGGGGTGGGGGCACTGACTGGTGGTCCTGATGGATAGAGCTTCAT